CTCTCTCTCTCTCTCTCTCTCTCTCTCTCTCTCATTTTTATTTTATAGACAGGGTTTCTCTGTAGCTTTGTAGCCTGTCCTGGAACTCGCTCTTGTAGACCAGGCTGGCCTCGAACTCACAGAGATCCGCCTGCTTCTGCCTCCCAAGTGCTGAGACTAAAGGCATGCGCCATTACTACTCAAGCAATCTATTGCTAAAAGCCACGTGTATGTTTTGTCAAGGAGTTTGGCAGGGCCTCGGACTAAAAAGAACATGGCCCGAAAGTACCCTGCGTTTATTCTCCACTTTCAGCTCAGTTCCGGTCACAGTTTCTAGTTTGAGGTATCACCCATTGAAAACCATTCAGAAGCCGCACCGTTTCCCAACCCCCACTCCTCTCACCGCCTCCCTTTTCTGCTTTCGGAGCTGGCTGGCGCGATGCCTCTGGTCTACTCGGCTGGGCTGCTTCTTCAGCTTCTTGGACAAGATTTTCGGTCCTACACGGCCTGGAAGGCAGATCAAAAGTGACTGCTCCGCACCATTGATTAACGAGCAGGAACCTTTCTGCGCTCCTTAGAAAGAGCCTTTGGCAAGAGTCCCAAGTCTAGTCTCGGTGTCGGCACGGCTATCGGCTAAGCAGCCCTTCTTCCTCCTCTGTCCACTCACCTTTACTGTCCCGTTGTGCGGACGCACCGCCGTGGTGCCGCCAGCCTTTATGAGGTTTATTCTGGTGCTTCAGCGGGCCCGAACGGTGAGCCGCCATTCTGCGGCCCACGTGCACCGAGTAAGCACTACTTCCGGCAGGACCCGCGCGTTTCCGGCCCCGGGGGCCGACCTCAGTGTTGGCCAGACTCCCGCGCCTTCTCGCGAGGTTTGTCCCGCTAGCCTGTGAGCGCTGGGTGCCTGAGTCCCCGAAAATACATCGTGGTAACTTTTCCCACGCTGCAATCCGCTGATGAGCTGAAAGACGCCAGACGCCGCAGACTCCCGGCTCCGGCTCTTGATACACCGGACCTGTATTGCGACCATCTTTCAATTTTTTCACGCTAAAGTTGCATTACGTGGAAGAAAGAAATAAAGGCGTCCTGTCACGTATATTTTGCACACTGATCTCTTCGGTCCCACTGATTTTTATAAAGGGATATAGTGTCACTGAGTAACCTTTTCTTTCCTCTATTACTCTAATTTCCCAAGCGAATCACTTAGAAGGGTTTCGTCTCACCCTCACCGGCTCCATTCTAGCTTGTCTCTTACTCCAACTCCTGCCCCCCCCCTCTTTCCACAAATCTGCAAGATGAGCCAAACGGGACGTGAAGACCCTGAGGAGGGTGAGGGCTTCCTCTTGTGCTCGGGATCTTCGTAGCTCGCGGCTGGGTTCTTGCTTTTCTCCCACAAGCTTTGCAACTGAGAGCGACTGACAGAGCACTGCATTCGGAGGGGTGGTGGGACCAGATTCGAACCCCAGAGACGCAGAGCCGGGAACTCCGGCCTCCTAGGTCCTCTCCGAGTGGCCAGAAGTCGGGAGCGGTGCGCTGAGGTTGCGGCCAGCCCAGGCACAAGCACCTTTCCAGAAGTCCGCCCGCTCCGCAGCGTCTGGAGAGGAGCTGGCTCCCAGCGCTCACAATGCGGGTTCGCGCCCTCGGGGCGGGAGCCTGCCCGTTGCCATGACAACCGTCCCTGCGGCGCGCGCCCGGGCCCGACGCCCCCAGGCGTCCGCACCCGCCCTGACCCCCCCCTCCCGTCGCGGCGCACACACCCCCTCCCTGCCGGCTGTGGGAAGGGGCCGGGCCTGCTGCCTGACGTCTGCGGGGCTCGGAAGATGGCTGCGGAGCTGAGCACCGGGCAGTGGCTGCGGCGGCGGCAGGCGGGGAGCGCGGCTGGCGGGGGCTCCGCCTCACGCGTGGGGCGCTGAGCCGGGAGGCGCGGAGGCGGCGAGGGCACGCGGGGGATCGGGGGGCCGCTGGGCAGCGCCTGCCCGCCACCTGCCGCACCATGGGCAGCGCCGAGGACGCAGTCAAAGAAAAGCTGCTATGGAACGTGAAAAAGGAGGTACGGTCGGGGGTCAGGACTCGGGGGCTCGCGCCCCTCCTGCAGTGCCCCAGGAGCGGAGGGTCACGGTTCCCACGCGCACGGCCGCCTGCGCACCGGGCGGGGGCGGGGTCCTGTGCAGTCTGTGCCTTCCGCCCCTCTCCGCGCCCGGGGCAGCGCCCTCGTCCTGGGTCAAGCAGGCGCCCTGGGGCTTGTTTGCTTCGGCGGTCCTCCGGCTCCCGCCCTGTGACGGCAGCAGCGCGGGGGGACCGCGGTCGGGGGAGGGGTGGCGGCGATTGCCGGAGAACCCGAGTTGCCCATTCATTGCCGGGACTGCTCGGGGAGGGGGCGGGGTCCCCGAGGGCCTCCGGCGGCTTCGAATCCGAGATCTAGGGGCTTCGCTCTCTGGTAGCCTACACAGCCCTCGTGTATTCTTCTTGCAAGCGAGTCGTGGCTGGCTGAGGGTTTGTCGCACACTTCACTGCTTCTCCCTCCACGCCCACCTCCTTACCCAGGAACCCGGGTATTTTTAAGAATGATTTTTAAGTCTCAGATTGTTTTTTCTCTTTTGAGGGAAATCCTTCAGAAACAAGAATCTCTCTACTAATCCCCTTTACCTTGACCCTGCTTAAAGCTCATTTCAATTTCGGGGGTGGGGGAGGAGGGTTGCCCATATGAATGACTCACCAGCTTGTGAGAGAGCCTGCAGTGTGGATGAAATGAATGAGGCCTTCCCCAGCCTGCCTCTGGAGCTACATCTGCCAGGTGTGAGCTGCACGAGGGGAAGAAACCTGTCTGTTTGTTCACTGTTTTGTATCCAGGGCCTGGCACACTTGTGGGCACTCTATTTGGTAAATATATCTGCTGATCTTGGAAATTGAGATCTGGTGGGAGTCTTCAATAGTTCAGTCTTTGTTTTTTGTGAACTCGGGTAAAGTTATTTAAACTCTTTCAAGTCTTGGTTTCCTCATCGCTTTTTAAAATAGGATAACACTGTTTATCGCGATATATGAATGCACCGTACTGTTTCATTCACCCTTAGCGTTTCAGGATTTGAGAAGATTTGGGGCTCTCATTCTGCATTAACCATTATCTTGTACGAACAACTTCATTGTGCTTTTGCTGCCAAGTGGCCAAGTGAGGGTTTCTTAGGCCAGGGCTTTTTTTAAATAGTCTTAGGCTCCAGCCTTGTCCCCAAAGAGAAATTTCAGTGATTATCCCCAGGAAGAAGGGAGTCTAAAGACAGAGCTGAGGGAGGGTGAGAGTACAGAACTAGAATTATTTGAGACCCAGATTTGAGAACTGATTAGGTATGTTGGAAAATGCTTTTGAGAACATGATTTTCTTCCCAGTGTTTCAAGAACGATTGATTGCTTTGAAAACAATGTGTGCTGCAAGAATGTATTGTATCTTCCTGGCAAAGTCTGCGGCTCTCTGGACTCCACCATCTCCCCCTTTAGTGCTTGGTTTACAGACAACCATACTCTTTTCCTCTCCTACAAGAAGAGACAGCTGAGAACTATAGGCAAGCTTGTTTTCACAGAGGACCTCTGAACCAATCCTAAAAGCATCAGTTGGTTCTCATAACCCAATATATGTCCCTCCAGTTGCTTCAGATACCTGTAGCTCTTTAGTTGTTGAGTTCCTGCAAAGACCATCCTGGGAAGTAATCGAGAAAGCTTGTAACAGCTTGGAATGCAAGAATCATCCAATCTGATCCCCATTTACCTCACCACTAACTAAGAGCAGTTCCAGCAGGAACGAACCTCCAGGTCCTTCTTCCTCCTTAGGCCTTAGGTGTTCTGCCACCTTCCATGTAATACCGTGCGTGTTCAGAGAGGACCTTGGCCTGGCATGGTGGTGTATACCTTTAATCCTGGCACTCAGGGCAGATGGAACTCTATGATACCCAGGCCCAGTCAGGGCTACACAGTGAGATCCTATCTCAAAATAAATAATAAGTAAATAAATAAAACAAACAGAACCCTTTGGGAGCCAGGGCACCATCAGGATGCTGCATCCTGTCCAAAGGATGACAGGCAGGGACTAATGCTGAACATGGGAGCATATATGCCTAAGACTCCAGCACTCATGGAGCCGCAGCAGAAGAATTGCAGGAAGTTTGAGTCAAGGCTAGGCTATATAGTGAGTTTGAGACCAGTCTGGTCTACATAATGAAAAACAGAGTTGGAGAGCTTGCTCTGTGGTTAAGAGCACTGTCTGTTCTTCCGAGTTTGAGTCCCAGAAGTAGCATGGCAGCTAACAACTGTTAGCTCCAGTTCCGGAGGAACTGATGTCCTTTTCTAGCCCCTGCAGGTACCACATAAACGTGGTGCACAGACATACATGCAGGCAAAATACCCATACCCATAAAGATAAATAAGTTCTTAAAAAGATAAGGACTGTCTCTGCTATGACTTACTTTTCCTGTGCGTTTATATTTTTTATATCTTCTTTATGCTGTGGTTGAGGGAACCCATCTCTGATTCCCAGTGGTGGCTCTTTGACTCCTGGCAGATTCCCCATGGAATCTGGCGTAAGTGCAACTAGAACCTCATGCTGATGATGGGAGTGTAAATTGCTACAGCCACTTTGGAGAACGTTTTGGCAGTATCTGGTAAAGCAGAATACATGCATCCAAAATTCCTTGCCTAGAAATATAAATTTTAAATAGCCAGCACATATGTTCACCAGAAGATATGTCCAGGTGTTCATATGATTCATAACAACTCCAAGCTGGAAAATACCCAAATGCCAGTCAACTGTGGTATTTTCACACAATTGGAAGTGAACAGTCTATAGCAGTACACGACAGAAACGAATCTCACGATCGTTCACTCAAGCAAAAGAAACAAATCACAAAACACTACTTTCTGTTATTTCGTTACCTTTTTTTTTCTTTTTAGTATAAAACTTGCAAAACTAAGATAAGAACTCAGAGATTGGGCCTGGTGTCACATCCCTGTAATCCCAGCAGGACAAAGGCAGTGGGAATAAAAGTTCAAAGCATGCATGGGTTACAAGAGTAAATTCCAGGCTATCATAGGGAATTTAGTAAGATCCTGTCTCAAAAAAGAAGAGGTTTGAGGCTGGGCTAGGTGGCTCATGCCTTGATCCCAGCACAGAGGCAGAAGCAGACAGATGTCTTTGAGTCATGGCTAGCCTTGTCTCTATAGTGAGTTCCTGGCCAGCCAAGGGCTACATTGTGAAATCCTGTCTCCAAACAACAGAAGCTCAGTTCTGCTGCTTACCCCAGCATGCACAAGGCCCTGGGTTCAGTTACCCCCCACACACACAAAGAATAATAATTAAAATTTCAAATAAAAGAAGCTAGCTGGTGGTGGCACACGCCTTTAGTTGTAGCACTTGGGAAGTAGAGGCAAGTGGATTTCTGTGAGTTCAAGGCTAGCCTGGTCTACAGAGCCAAGGCTACACAAAAGAAATGCTGTCTCAAAAAAAAAAACCAAAATAATAATAATAATAATAATAATGAAATTAAAAAGAGGAAAAGAAAAAAAGATAGTGGGTATTTGAGTATTCCTAGGAAGAGGTGGTGACTGGGGTGGGGGATGATAAAGCAAGGTGCTCCAGCACACAAGTTATATGTTGTTTATTTTGTTGCTTAAGACAAGGTATCCTAGCCCAGACTAGCCTTGGAGTTACTGTGTAGCTCAGGTTGACCTTGGCCTTGAACTCTTCTTTCAACTTTACTGCCTGTGTATGTGTGTGTGTGTGTGTGTGTGTACACATGCCACAATGTGTGTGTGTCTCACGTATGTTGTGTGTGTGAATATGGGTACATGCATGCCACTGTGTGTGTGTGTCTTGCACATGTGTGTGTGAGTATGGGTACACACATGCCACAGTGTGTGTTTTGCAC